CCACGTGGAGGTTGCTGCGAATTGGAGACCCACCCTATCCACGATCCCATCCACCCTCCTTTATGCAAAATTTATTTAAAAAATCAATTAAAATCAATAAAAATAAATCTTCCTTTTGATGTAGGTTTGCAAAACGTTCATTCTTTGATCGTTGTGCAAAATAAACAGCAAAAGGAATTTAAAGAAAACCGACGCGACAAGCTAAATCTGAAAATAAAAATTAAATTATATTTTAATTTAATTATGTATAATTCTATGAGACACAGACATTCATTATCATGAAAATATAAAATATTGACAATTACAAAATTAAAAATTAAAAAAAAATGCATTCCATACAGAATTATACACTTATTTTATTCACCACCACCATTTTTATATATATATATATATATATAATATTACCAATATTATCATTTATTATGCATGTATTACAAATATATTCTACTTTAAGCAGCATTTTTATAAGCAACATTTTTATAAGCAGCGTTTTTATAAGCAGTGTTTTTATAAGCAGCAGTTCTACAAGCAGCAGTTCTATAAGCAGCAGTTCTACAAGCAGCAGTTCTACAAGCAGCAGTTCTACAAGCAGCAGTTCTACAAGTAGCAGTTCTATAAGCAGCAGTTCTATAAGCAGCAATTTTACAAGCAGCAGTTCTACAAGCAGCAGTTCTACAAGCAGCAGTTCTGTAAGCAGCAGTTCTACAAGCAGCAGTTCTGTAAGCAATAGTTCTACAAGCAGCAATTCTGTAAGCAGCAGTTCTATAAGCAGCAGTTTTATAAGCCATCTACTTATATTCTACTTAGGATTACTTATATTCTAGAACTTATACTTAAAAAAATAATTGTAAATGTAATTTAATAATTTAATAATTAGGATCCTTAAGAAATATTAATTCAAAATGTTTGTATTTAAACTTACAATTCTTTGTAATTTCTATCTATATATCTACACACAAATCTCAATAAAATCAAGGAGGTTTAAAATACAAATATCTCTTGGTTGCATACTGATTTCAAATTGGTTTCTGAAACAAAAAAACTACAAAAAAAAGATTAGTAAACGTTTTATAAAATATATTTATTTTTTAATTGGTCATAGAGTCCTTATCTATTTACTAAAATCTAAATGTTTTTTCCTATTTTTTTAAAAGCTAAAGGTACTATCAAACCTCTATGCAAATCTCAAAATCAAAAAGATTTATTTGAGGGGCCCCTCTTACAGAAAAATAATATAAATAAGAAACAGAGAATATGTATATGTCTTGCTTGATTGATATCTCAATACTTCCTGAAACAAATCAAACTAAAAATAATTAGTAAAATATCAATAAGATATAATTATTTATTTTCTTGAAATATATGATTGATGCATTCTCAAAGCAATATATCTTAATATATCTGAAACAAACTTAATTAGAGAATTAATATAATAATATGTAATATATAATATAATTAATATAATAATAATTAAAAAAGAAAAAAAAAGAAAACAAAACTGAAATACTAAAGAAATAGTATGAAATAATATAAAAAAATAAAATTTATAATGAACATTTATCATTATTGGTTTTAAAAAATTTACTGAAAAGAATTTAAATTCGATATTTTAAAAGACTTGGAAAAATATTCATAAATAAAAATAAAGAAAAATATATATATTTTATAGCAATATTTTCTGCAACAAATGATAAGGGATGCTAAAAAAGAAAACAACTTAATAGCCAGAGGGGCCATTAAAAAAAAAAATATCTTCCACTCGATATGAACTCGAGCAACAAATTGAGAGCGAAATATTCATTTTATATTGCAACGTTGAAAAACTAATATTTTTTTTATAAAATAGAAAATTTTTTAAATCAACTACGATGAGTGCTTTATTATATTTATATTATGATATTGATTAGTTTATGACAAAAAAAAAAAGAAAATTGGAAAATTCCCGGAAACAATTATAACATTTTATGCACTCAAATTTAAATAACATAATAATGAAATTCAATCTTTTCAATGATTATTATCGTAGAATTATCTTTGCAATTTTTTTTAACCATTTAAAATTCAAGAGTATTGAGTATTTCCATAATCCCAGTTGAAAAAATTTGGGCATATTCAATATTCGCAATATTATTTGAACAAACGCGACTGTTTATCAATGCAACATTACATTTTAAAATAAATTCAATAGAAATATTTATTATTTTTCTATAACTAGAAAATTACTATTAATTAAAATTATTATTTATTATAAAATTATTTATTAATGAATTTAATAACAAATGATATAAATTTTAATTAATAATTTTATAAGAAATTATAAAAATTTTTAACAGAAAAATCGTGATATCTTATAATTCGCAATACTAATAAAGAGTCGTAAAAATAACAAATAATAACTCTAATTCAACCCGTTATTAATCAATCGCAACTCTAATAAAAAATCGCGATGCCCATGATTGGATCTAGATAATGGACCGGCATGCAATCGGTCAAACAACACAATAATTACTACATATTTCTAAAATGAGCACAGTAACAAAGTAGTAACAATGACTTCCCATTCTTTAGACCCAAATAAAATCCAAAAAATGAGAAGCCATTCGTTGCAGCCCTCTTCGTGACAGTTTGTCGGGCCTCTTCGGTCTTCCTCCTTCGGGCGCAATGCCCGCTGAAACTTAAATCTAGGCTCGAGATTTCCTATATCGTAGATACACAAAAAAAAAAAAAAAATAAATAAAAAACTATATCACGGAAGCTGAATGCACATGCGCAATGACTATTGTCCGCGCATGCGCAGAATCTCGAGCATAATGTTCGTTTCGAAATTTATTTCGCGACCGCGAACGCGAAATTCGAAAAATTGATGAACAAAGCCAAATATAAGTGACTCCACTCGTTCTAGCTTTATTCTCGATTTTTCAAATTATATTTCCTGAAACAAATTGTCACACGAAAAAGAGCCTACCCGATCAGAGATTGTGACAATCTGCCCGGCCCTACCTACTTATAATTAACAAGCACACAGAAGTATACTACCTATCCTACCTAACCCTATATTTAAAAAAATGACAAAACAGGCATACCAACACATTCATTCCACGATT